TGAGTCTACTCGGGCCAGATGGTCAGCTGATTTACTTTAGGGAAACAAAAGCGGCTGTGCATTGTGCAACCCGCACTATCACCGTGTATGACGAGGTCGTTGAAACGGGTGAACTCTACTTCATTTCTACAAGCGTGAAAAAAACGGATATATTTAATAATAATCTTAGACGTTTGAGATTTTGTGTTTTATCAACGCCAAGTAGTCGCCAGTAAAGCGCTACTTATTAATTGTAAATCCAAACCCTAGCCCTAACTTCGCTGTACCTACGCCACTGTTTCACCACTAGAGCTCTATACTTGCCACGTCACCACATTTTATCCACAAGAAACAAATCTGTGAGTACACATCCATGTGGGTGGTTTAAAAGATTATAGGCCTAACAACGGATTAACCAACAGCTTTCATTAACCAAATCCTACATGTTTTTTGAGCCAATGATACAGGCAGTGATGTTTTGTAAAGTGTTGAGATAGAGATTAAATAGTATTATATACTGAATATAGGGAGCACTATAACAGCTTAGCAGACAATACGGGTCCATTCTTATTGTACACCGCTATTCAACATATGCTTCACAAAGATGAACTAGAAACTAAAATATATTAAATGTATAAATAATAAAATAAGATTTGGTCAACATTACAAGTCCGAATAAATAACCTTACTGTTTATGCAAATATCTTTTTCCTTGAGAGTCGAACGAAGGACTAGGTTTAGGTTATGTGCAATGAAGGATTATAGTTTTGGTTAGAAATGGCTAGAAATGGGATTATGATTGGGGTAGGTATTAGCATGGGAAAACTAGTTTTAGGGCCATTGATAGTGGTAACGTGTGGACACGGTGTATCAATATACAATTCGCCATATTTCATGGGTTTAGTGTATAAACTTTTATTGTTGTTATATAAGCTCATCAAGACTGCCAAATCCCGAACTTAAATAATGAATGTATAGAGTAAACTAAATGTCTAGGGCAGGTAAGAAAGTCCTAGGCAGTCAAATCATGAGCTGACATAAGACTAACAAGAACAGGCATAGCTTTGGATATCCTCACGTCTCATGTTACATTGTAAGATCGCAGACATATTTCTTCATTTCTGTTGACAGAGTTGTGCGGCTTTTTAAAATGTACAAACAACTGAACCGTAGCGTTAAGACAAGCCGCGCTGGAACTGTCATGGACTGGTGAGGCAGATGGCCAAGAAAAGCCAGGTGGTTAAGGCATGCCAAGTGGGCAAGGCAAGCCAGGTGATAAGGCGAGCCAGAAGGCAAAACGCTGGACAGGTGGTCAAGTCATCCAGGTGATTAAGGCTAAGATGGCTAAGGCAAATCAGGTCGCCAAGGCAAAACAGGTGGTAAAGTTATCCAGGTGAGCTGATATCACAATCTATGATTCCAGTTTTACGGATTTGTGAGTTGAGCTCATCAAGATTATTTCAACCAACTCCTATAAATCAACTTGTATTCCATCAAGCTCCGACAAATCAACTATTTATAAAATGAAGTTCACACAAAATGAATTTGTGTCATAATGATGAACAGCATATCCTTGAAGTGGTTATAAACTTTTTGGTTGGTAAACTTTAAAACACTACACATAAACAAACAGTAGAATCTAGAGACAGTAATATGTGTACAAAGAAATGTTTATTTCTTGTAGACGCTACACTCAGTGAAGGTGGCCGAGTTTATCGAGTTGGGATCGATCATTATTGTAGGCATGAATAAAGTTTTTTTTTTAGATACTGTCGTCAAAGCGACCGCACAAAAAATCTTTTATAAACTTAAGCCTACAAATAAATCAGAAATTTAATCTTGTTAGAATTAATGTAATAAGCTTTTCGAATCCAAAGAACATTAAAATATATTTTTCGTTTAAGGCTACATATCTAGTAATTCTTTCTGAAAAATATGCTGATACCATTGTTAATAAAGTTATACTTTTTTTTAATAAAACCATATAGCCTAGTAATATTCCAAGTGTATTTAATTTTTTCGGGACAAAAAGTAAACTACCACATTGCTTTTTACCTTTTTTTAATTACTTACAAAAGTGTTTACTTACAAAAAAATACCAAAACATTAGATACATCAAATCTTAAGTAAAGTCCGTCAAAAATCAAACTTTATTTTAATAAAATCGCAACAGATTTCTAAAATAGTCAATACACCATTCCGAGGCTACACGGCTGTGTCCATTTTAACCATCGAACATTCGCACCACTAGCGCAGGAAGTTCCAAATTAAAACATTTCCACACAAGCGCGTTTTTTTTTTTTCTGCGCTTCCTCTGAACATCGATATAAACTCTCAGAATTAAAAACTGATATTTATAGATAATAAACAGAGTATATAATAATAATAAAAGTACCTTCCGATTCTTTAGCCAAGCCGCCTTCTGTTTGAGTCAGGTACCATCAGAGCTGGGTGGACTCAGCAATGTCCTACCTTATCCAGCTGGGGATCAGAACCTGAGGCTCTCTGTTAGCTGTTGTGCGATCTTTAAGTGACCACCTCGTCCAACGTTTCACACTAAATACAATTAAAAAATAATTAAGAATAAATATAAAAGACGAGTAAGTCGATTTATAAGAACAAATAAGTAAGGTTATCAAATTCCTTCTTTACTTATCGGCGCTCTTATCCTCTTTACTCCTTGTGGAGCATAGGGCCTCAACCATACCCTTAAATTTTGTACGGTCCTCGGCTGATTTAGCAACCTCCCAAGCAGTGGCGGAACTAGAAAAAAGAGCCACCCCGCAAAAAAACAATCTGGGCCCCCCTATATATATATATATATATATATATATATATATATATATATATATATATATATATATATATATATATATATATATATATATATATATATATATATATATATATATATATATATATATATATATATATATATATATATATATATATATATATATATATATATATATATATATATATATATATATATATATACAAGCACAAAATACGAATATAGGATACTCATTGCTGGCCTGTACGGGTTTTTAAAAAAAGGTTTTTTTTTTCAAATAATACAAATTACAACGTCATGTAATGTGTGTAACTGCAGTGTTGTTTTTTTTAAATCACTTCATTTCATCTATGCTATTTAACCTCTTAATCTTTAGACGGTCAATAGAATATAAAACATGAGTGCTTTGTATAAGTAATGGTGTCTCGTGTTATGTTTATTTTTATGATTTTTATTATTTATGTTATTAATTTTAAATACATTTTCTTTTTGTACCATGTAATTCTTTAGTAAGTATTTTATTTAAAAAAATAATAATTAAAAGAAGTAATTTCTTTTTAATTTGTTTAGTACAAATCTATTAAAAGTGGCTTATGAGCACCCCTATTTGACTATTTAAAAATGGAAATAAGTCATGTAAGTGGTTTGAACGTTTGCTTATCTTTGATTAGTTTGATTGTAGGAGAAAGAGGTCTCGGCTTTCATGTCTATAGCCCGAGTTCCATCCCATGTTGTTTTATATAAGAATATTCGAGAAAGTTTAGGGGAGATCACTCCCGGTTTATTTATTTTTATGGGCCCTTAAATGGCGTGGCCCACCCCCCTCCCCCGCATTGCGGGGTCTGGCGGCACTGTAGTTCCGCCACTGGTCGCCTCAGTGGTTATTCTAGGCATTGTTTGTAGCAACAGTTCACTCTGTAAAAGGTTCGTTTTTTTTTTACACACGCCACACATAAACAAACAAAAACACAAACACACAAGCAAGAAAACGAATAAAAACATATTTCTATATTTAATGTAATTATATATATATATATATATATATATATATATATATATATATATATATATATATATAAAGTTTATAAAACACTTTTAATGACAAGCTTTTTATATCATAATGCACTAAAAAGTAGAAATTAAATTATACACTACAATTTAAATAAATATAAACAAAAAGTGTGGATCTCTTCATAGATATTAGTAAAGGTATCCAATTGATACTTAAGTGACCCACGCTTTTTTATAGTTATTTAAATAGTAGTGTATTATTTATTATCTACTTTTTATTGTATTATTACTTAAATGCGTGTTATTAAAACGTATTTCATGATTTTTTTTTTACAAATTGACAATTGAATTGCATGACTTAAAAACCATTGCGCGCCTAATGAACGCGATAGCGCGTGTATAATAGTGCGGAATAGTTGGGTAAGACTGCCAACTAATTTTGTCAAAATTTTAATTAATTCATAAAAAATCAATTTGGCAATTAATTAAGTGAATTTTAATGTTATGTTGCATTGTCTACATGTTTAAATACACGTAATAACTATGAATCGAATCTTTCAGTTAGAAGTGCCCGAATTTTCGCTCGGGCGTTTTGATCTAGACAGACTGACAGCGGACAGAGAAAGTCAGTTAAATAAAAGCTTGTAATAAATGTTTCATTTTGTGATTAGTACATTTATGTATTATTTTCTTACAGTTCACATTGTTTATATTTGTCTCTTTTATTACTCAAATCAGCTTGCCGCATTGCTCTTAGCACAGCAAATTTTAAATGTAAATGCAACTGATTATTTTAGTTGTGTTTGATTTATATATTTTTTGTAGATAATGAAATATTTCAGTGGATGTTGAGCTGCAGTCTAGGAAGAAAATATATATCTAATAATATATGTCCTTTTGTTTTTAGTTTGTAAAATTATGACGGAGCTAAAGGAAATTAAAAACCACTTTATTTGCATGTGTGATTAAACTGTATAATATTTTTTAAAACTGTTTTTAAAAAATCTCAAATTTTATATCATAAAATGTGAGAGGTAAGTCCTTGTAGTTTTTGTTAGAGATATACGCCATTACTTTCGAGATCAATCAAGTTCAACTTTTAAATATTCTCAATAAACCAATAACGATTTGACAAAGTTATACACAATTTTTTAAACTGGAATCAACGATTGCCGGTAACGTATTATATTTTATTCTGGGACAAGGGGGTGAAGGGGAGATATTATAAACATCCTAAGGTTTTCGTAGGGGGACACACGCACATTTTTCTCTAAACTGATTCATGCAAAAAATACAACTTTAGACTACTCAGTTAATTTTTCTACACACAATATACACATTTCTATGTATAGCTTCATTACAAAATGTTATTTTTATAATACCAGGAAAACTAAACAAATTCCGAATAAAACTGCGTGTGCTTTAATCAACAAGCATCATAATTTTGTCTACTTTGAATTCAAGAAAAAAATTCAACAGGCGTTATTCAAAGTCTCCTACAATGTCAGCCATGTCACTGAAAATATTAGAAACATAGTTTAATAATAAATATAAGGAATAAAACTTACTAAATTTATCTGAATGAAATATTTTATTTCATAAAACAATTTAAAATTACCGAATTTTAAAATTGTGAATAGTCACTTTTTTATTATTCATTTAATAAACTATGTATTGCATAAAATTCTATAATATTTATCAAAATCATATTATATTGTATCGAATTTTGATAACCTTTTAGTTAATGTCTTAAATTAGAACATTTTTATCGATATAAATATACCTGTTTAGTGAATATCGTCATATTCCCAACAATTGTTTCTCTGTTGTTTTCTGTAGCCACACACTCATACGTGTATCTCGAATACTTGTATTCCATTTGAAAGTTCAGTGTTGATGTATGACGATACTTGACACAGGTTGTCTCAGAACTGACCAGCACAGGTTCAGCAACTGATGTCACGTTTTGTACAGGATATGGCATTAAGCTGAAGTTTATTAATCTGCTACCAAACCTCCAATGTAAGGTTACGTTCTTTGGTCCCTGCAATAATATGTGATATATAAGAAATTAAAATAAAATACAATTACATGAAAATATAAGTTTAATTGATACGTTTTCACCTAGATTTCAGGAATTGAAACTATCAGTAAGGCTGGCGGGTTTGTTTGTAATGATTTTTGTGTATAAGCAGTTCTGTTTGTAAAATGGTGATCTACATTGGAACTTCATTTTGCATAAATTTAAACTGCTCTTTGTCCAACTATCTCTCTGCTATTTCTTAGGTACTTGGCAAACTGGAATGTGTGTAAGTCAGAATTTCAAGGCAAATGTCTCAAATTCTTCTTCAGCGAACCACAGCAAACACTGTACACAACAGGATGAGATCACTGCTTTGATCTTATGGCTAACATGACTCTCAGACCGTCTTAATTATTCGTTAATCTAAATATAGCACGAAAGATTCAACTGTTTAGTCTGGTGATCGCTTGTTGTAGTTAAACTAGCCGTCGGTACACGTTGGACGATATTAGCGACAATGCAAATCAAATAACTTAATAGCTAAACATCCGACATATTTAAAGTAACATAATAGGCTGCCAATACCTATAAGAAAAACCAAACTATATATATATTGCAAGCCGTCCCGGTCAGGCCCTGCTCTGGCCTCTGCTAAGGACCATTACCTGTGTGTTTAGTAATCATCATATACCCGGCTTTGCCCACCCTAACCACAACCAACCAAAACAAAAACAAAAAGAAAACGCAAACATAACGCAAACACAATTACAAACACAAACACAAATACAAAGAAAAACAAACGAAAAAGCAAACGAAAACAAACCAAATCCAAACGCAAACGCAAAACCAACCACAAACCCAACAACAACACAACCCAATCACTACAACAAAACACGAAACATACACAACACAAACACAACACAAACAAAACACAAACACAACACAAACACAGCACAAACAAAACACAAACACAACACAACACAAACACAACACAAACACAACATAAACACAACATAAACACAACATAAACACAACATAAACACAACATAAACACAACATAAACACAACACAAACTTAACACAATACAAACCAAACACAACACAAACACAACACAAACACAACACAAACACAACACAAACACAACACAAACAAAACACAAACAAAACACAAACACAACACAAACACAACACAAACACAACACAAACACAACACAAACACAACACAAACACAACACAAACACAACACAAACACAACACAAACACAACACAAACACAACACAAACACAACACAAACACAACACAACACAAACACAACACAAACACAACACAAACACAACACAAACACAACACAAACGCAACACACTTTAGCGAATGACGTAATCTGCATCATTGTTAACAAGATGCTATTTGGCACGATGGCGCCTGTTAGTTTTAGGGAGCCATGGGCCGTACACGTCGCGTATGCGGTATTGTAATCGTGGGGGGGGGGGGGCTCTTGAGAGCGCTCATCTACGTCTCTGACACATGGGCGGTCACCGAAGTATGTTCTTCCTCATTATTTCAGTGAGTGATTAATGTACACTCAAGGTTTTCATGCGGTTGTCAAGTTAAAGCCGTGTCCCGATATTTATGATCCAAGCGCAGGCATTAATTACAATTAAATAACTCACTTTTAGAAAACAAGGTTACGCGTCAAAGAAAATATGGTAGGTAACGCAGAGATGAAACCCTTCTTATATATTTCGTCAGACTTTTTTCTATTCCCGCTAGTTTTCTTATATAAATACTAGCCATCGGTACCCTTTTTGCGTGAATTATAGGCCTATATATTTTAAAATGATGTACTTGTTTGAGAAAAAAATTTATGGAAAAGTTATTGGTCAAAACGCAATGTGCTTTACTACACGCTGAACGATATTAGCGACAAAGCAAAGAAATAACTAATTAGCTAAAAATCCGACACATTTAACATAACACAGGCACACACTGATTAAGTGACTTATATGATTCCGTTAAAAATCTGGCTATTCAATGGTCATTATGTTGTTTTTAAGTAATTTATATTAGTTTTACCGATAAAATTGTATATATATCATAGCGTACGTCTTGATTAGTTGATCTATAGATCTAGATCTAAATCAAATTTGAATGAAGTAGTTCCTTTCTTTATAGTCTAAAATCAGAAGATTCACATATAAAAAAAATAAAAAACCAAGTTAGTCTTGGTGTGTCTCGACCCCGCAACACCTGCGTGGTTTTAAGTACACTATCATCTCAGCTATTTAAGCACCTTGGAAAACATGGAGAATGAAAGACGTATTTTTTAAAACTTAACTTACGCGAATATGCATATTCTTTCAAATTAATTTTTTTATCACCAAATTTGACAGTTCCAAACAAAGATTTTGTTAAAAATAATTAAGTCTTGAAATAGTTTAGGCCTAATATAGAAATTTATTTTTGGAATAGATTCTAGAGTAGATAGAGTCTAAATCTAGATCTTAGTGACTTAGCAGTCTACGCCTAGTTTTTGCTTAAATTTAGAACTAGTCTAGATCTAGAATTTCTAGATCTAGTATTAAAATAGATAAAATAAATTTTATAAGTTTAGGCCGGAAAAATTATATTGTATACATTTCATAGCGTACGTAGATCTAAATCAAATTTGAATGAAATAGTTCATTTCTTTTTATTCTAAACACGGCACATGACGTCATTAGTTAATGTATAAACGTTAGTGACGTCACAGTTTTATGCGTTCTTTTTCACAATTATAAATGCTTTTCCTGTTGCATAATTAAAACTGTTTTTCTACATTCGAATACGCCTTTATTTTTTATTTTTCTTCCTTAAATAAAATTGTGATTATACAATTATACATTATACATTTATAACATCTAACATATTATTTTCAACAATAGTCCATATTAAGTTCTCCATATATCGCTGCAGATTCTGATGTGATATCCGGCGAAAATATTTTGCGGACAGAGAGAGAGAGAGAGAGAGAGAGAGAGAAAAGTGCGCACATGGGCTTTTATATATTAGGATAGCAATTTTTTTGGGTGAAAAAGTAAACAAAGATTACGTCATTCGGCCTACGTACAAGGGAGATAACTTTTAAAAGTATTTTTGTTTTAAATTAAGTTTATACTATTTTCAACAAAAACAGAAAATGGTGAAATGTAGAATTCGTTTATGTAGTATTTCATTATAAATTAAGTTATATACTGTTATATTGTAAAGGAACACTGTGTGGTTTTAACTGACGTGAGAGTAATAAGTTTGTGAATATTTACCAGCATTCCTATAACACGAAATTACTGTTTAAATTTAAACATGTCATTAAAAAGACTTATTAATTAATAAGTCTAATTCTTAAATGTTTATTTAAAAAGCCTTAGCGAGGCTAGGCAATATGCCTAGTAGATTTATGGATCTAAGGTAAATTTGAATAAGTTGGAAGATGTCGCCATTAGTTTACTGTACTTTTCGTAGTTTAAACATATGGCATGTGACGTCATTGTTTATTGTGTTTTTGTCAAACTATAAAAACTTTTCTGTCTGTACTAGCCGTCAGTACTCCTTACACGTGAATAATAGTACTATATATTTTGTGATGTAATACGTATTTGGAAAAAAATATTTATAAAATAGTTATTGGTAAAAACGCAACACTACACGTTGAGATATTAGTGACAAGGCAAAGAAATAATTAAATAGCTAAAATCTGACACATTTAAAATAAGAGAATTAAGTAAATATCTAAAACCAACAGCACATTAAAAATAACAAAGGCTACCAATACTTATTAGAACAATCAAATTAAATACATATTAGTCAACACAAGACCATATTAAATGCACACACCCTGATCAAGAGACTTAAATAACTCCTTTAAAAACCCGGCTGTTCAATGGTATTTATGTTTTTTTTAAAAATAATTTGTATTCATTTTTGCCTAGAAAATTGTATACATTTTATAGCGTAAGTCGTGATAAGTAGATCTATAGATCTAAATCAAATTTGAATGAAATTATTCATTTCTTCATACTCTATAATTGGAAGATGACGTCATTACTTTTTCGTTCTTTCCGTTGTTCGAATATGTGGCATGTGACGTCATTGTGTATTGCGTTCTTTTCACAACAATTAAACACTTTTCCGGTTGGATAATTAAAACTGTTTTTAATA